CCCCAAAACCCCAAAATACTGTATTTGCAAGGAAAATTGAGATTGATTCTTTTATATTTTAAATAAAAATTTATTTTTAAATAAGAAGGACTAATCTGACATTTTTCATTTGATATTATACCATTTTTAAAAAATAATATCAAAATGTTACTTAATCAAAATAACCGCCCTTAGTAATTGATTATCAAACTTTCAAACCTCTTTAAATTCAAGTTAATATATAAAGAAATTAGTAAGAAAATTAATTTTTTAAAGGAAACATTCATTTAAAACATGATAAATATGCAAGATCTGTTTTCAACCTTTATATAAGGTAATTTCAATAAAAAATTAGTAACAATTTACGAGAAGTATTCCATTTTTAAAAATCTAGAACTCATAAATCTACTAATTTATAATATTTAAGAGAAACAGGAAAATTTGAGATTAATACAAGTTACATTAAAAATAATTTTGCAAAGATAACCATATTATAAAGTAAAAAAGTTGATTTCAGATAGATGGAATATAGGTCTTAATTTTTAATATCCTCAATAGTAAAATATTGTGATAGCTACTACAAAGTGGACTAGGCAAAATCAACTAAATAAATCAAATTCGCACCAATAGTTCATAAGAAATATTCATTAAGATGGCCTATTTGATGGTTATGCTAAATATTGAAGAGGCAATTAAATGAGTTGATAAACACTCACGAAATGGAGTAAAATCATAAATAGATTTTTGAGTAAAATAAGACAAATATGCATCAACTTAAGTGATTCAAGAAACCACCGCATTATGCGTTCTCTATTACCATTGATTAAATGCATCTAAAATGATGATTTAGGGAATACTTGTATAAAGCAGCACTTCTTAACATAAAAGATTTAAGTGCAACCTCATAACCTAGCTATTCATGTCCTGGATCTCCGTCTCTAATAATAATATTTGCTTGAGATTTATAATATCAGCTAAAAAAATCAATTATATTCTGGGTCACAACTCCGTCTATTAATATATGAATTGCAAAGAAACAATGAGAAAATCTCTAGTAAATAAAGCAGGAAAGTACCTCAGTTAAATTGATGAAATCCCTAGAATGAAAAATTTCATTGAGGAATTCAAGTTCGATTACTAAGATGAAGGGGTGGAAAAATCATCTAACTCAAGACGTAAACCCAGTAGACTAGACAGTGAAAATACTACAAATACTCATACATCTGATATCCCATGTAGGCAGCCGTACTATTCTGATATGAAGGAAGAACAAGAGAATTAGAAATTACAGAAATGGGAATAAATGGAATCAAGGATTCTCCAGTATCTCCAAGACAATAATATAAGTGTAGTAGACGTGATGGAAGAGAAAAAGAATGAGCTAAAGTAAACCTTTAAAAGCATTAGTCCAACTCCAGGAACAAGAAACAGAGGATCAATACTACTTGAAAGACGTAAGACAAGCTTAACCATTCAACCTCTGTCTAGAGAGTACGATTGAGATTCAATTAAAGTCTTCAATTATATACATTATACATAAGAAAGATCATGCTAACATGCAGACTATAGAAATATCGTGATTTCATATTTATAATAAATAAAGTAGCTTATTAATTAGTGATAATATAATTCATCAATCCAAACTTGATTTTAATCAACGGGGTTTTGGGGTTTTGGGGTTTTGGGGTTTTGGGG